TTTAACAAAAAAAAATATTGAAATTATGCAATGATGTTGATAAAGGATAGAAGATTTTTTTTGTTAAATGATGATGATAAAAAATGATGTATGTGTGTATATATATGTATGAATGTATGTTGATGCGTTTGTAAAATAATGAAAATAAGTGCCAGATACAAGATAACCGAGAAATATGTTGCAACTGGACGTTGCTCACCCAACCTGGAATATGAAATCCCAGGACACATCTGCATCTACTAATGTGAATAGCGATGACAAAATGTGAGAAGAGGTCGGCTAACTGATCTAAGAGGCTGCTGTATAAAGATCCATAAACGTGCCAGATACAAGTCAACCGAGAAATATGTTGCAACTGGACGTTGCTCACCCAACCTGGAATATATGAAATCCCAGGACACATCTGCACCGACTAATATGTATAGTGGTGTCGAAATGTGAGGAGAGGTCGGCTGACCGATCTAAGAGGCAGTCTATGAATGTGTTAAAGAATGTATGATGAAAATGTAAGAATGTATGTAGGTATTTTGTGTAAATATGTATGTTGATATTGCCTAAATGTGTTAAAGAATGTATGATGTTGATAGCACTCGGACGTGCGAAAAGTAGAAGAAAGGTGATAAGCAGGCAACAAGCATGCACCTCGCGTGCAGCGAGGTTCCTCCCCCCTCCGCCAACATGTTTAACGAAAAAAAAAAAAAATTATTGTAATTATGCAATGATGTTGATAAAAGATAGAAGATTTTTTTGTTAAATGATGATGATAAAAAATGATGTATGTGTGTATATATATGTATGAATGTATGTTGATGCGTATGTAAAATAATGAAAATAAGTGCCAGATACAAGATAACCGAGAAATATGTTGCAACTGGACGTTGCTCACCCAACCTGGAATATATGAAATCCCAGGACACATCTGCATCTACTAATATGAATAGCGATGACAAAATGTGAGAAGAGGTCGGCTAACTGATCTAAGAGGCTGCTGTATAAAGATCCATAAACGTGCCAGATACAAGTCAACCGAGAAATATGTTGCAACTGGACGTTGCTCACCCAACCTGGAATATATGAAATCCCAGGACACATCTGCACCGACTAATATGTATAGTGGTGTCGAAATGTGAGGAGAGGTCGGCTGACCGATCTAAGAGGCAGTCTATGAATGTGTTAAAGAATGTATGATGAAAATGTAAGAATGTGGCTTTGAATGATTTTATAAGTTTGATTAGGTATTTGCTTTGAGTATAAATCATTGTAATAAAAAGAATCGAATGTTTTCGAAAAAATGACTTGTGCTCGGTATATTGAAATTTGCAAGGATCTAAAGGTCGCATGCAATGGCTGCGCGCGCGCCGACTATGCGACAAATAACTACCGAGTGCACAAAAAGTAATAAGATGGAATGTGAGATGTAAAATGAAAAAAAAAAATTCTCGTACAAAAGGGCCAAAAAAAGGAAATGAAAAGAAAGGAATATGGAACGGACTCACAAATAATGTCGTCTTCTTTATTTTGATGGTGATGATGATGATTCCTTTTTTGCCGGTCGAAGGACCATATGAATGTCATAAGAATGAAAGTTGATGAACAAAATAGACAAATATGATTGATGTGTCGGCGCGCGGAGTGCTGAAGCGCAACTGAAGGTCGCGGTGTGAGGGCGCGCGGGGCGGCGGGTGAGGTCTGGAAGGGACCCCCGCGCTGCTTCCCCGCCGGTGGTGCCGTAGTACGGAACAATCGTAAAACATTATATGGCGGGATTCGAACCCAGGATCTGCAGATTGAAATTAAGTGCTTAACACCTGATTCACCAACGCTTTATATATGTATATTAACTACTATGTGTTTGTATGTCAGTGTGCGACGTCGATGTGGCGAGGGCTGCTCCAGCGGCGGCGCGTGTGACGCTGCGAGTGCGGAGGCGGGCACCGCGCGCCCCGCACCCCCGCCACCCCCCGCACCCTCCCTGCAGCTCTCCCGCAACTCACTCGGTACATACATACATACATACATTTCTATCTATATGTCACATTTTTGTAATAAGTGCCTTCAATTAAGCGTTTGTATTTTACAAGGTCCTAAGTTAATTGTTCTGTTGGTCCTTCGAGCTGCGAAATGAATGTTATAAATCTTACTATCTTACTACTATTATAAATGTAAATGTTTGGATGTATGGATGTATGTTTGGATGATTGGAAGAAAGTATCTGTAGAACAGCTTAACGTGTCTCACTGAAATTTAACATAGATGTAGAAAATAGTCTGGAAGAACAATTAATATGTTTATAATGTTCCTTCATCAAGATGTATGTATGTATGTACGCAGCGGGCACTCGCGGCAGTCTGGCGAGCGCGGGCAAGCCGACCTCCTCAACCCTGGCTTCACTGGCGGGACTGCTGCGCGACCACTCGCATGACCGCACGCACGAGGATGCATGTCAGTAAACATCAGCTCACTATACGTCCACACTGAGGGGCTCGGACCTTACCCTTAGTTAGGGATGACTACCCCATAGTGGCCCACTGCGGGTTGACTTCACACATATCTTTGAATTTCTTCACAGATATCGCAATCACGATGTTTTCCTTCACCATATGAACAGGATAAACCCAATATTGAAAAACATAGTGGTATATACCAGGATTCGAACCTAGGACCAGCAGATTAAAACTAGTGCTTAACCCCTATGTCACTAATGCTCAGTATATTTTGCCGGACGTTCAGTAGGGCGTTTTTTCTAAAATATATATTTTTTTTAGCATACGGCAGTCAGGACAGTACGGAGGCGCGGCGACGTAGTGAGGAGCGCGGTGGTCGCAGGGAGAGGAACATGCGCGCGCGCAGTCAGGTACTTATCATTGTTTTATGGTGTAGTTATCATTTTAAAGATGAAATACTGTAACATTAATATCATGGAGATTAAGAAAATAAAATGAACTAGGCTTTATCCTAATAAAACCTAGTTCATTTTATTTTTATGTAACTCGAGCAGAAATTTTAAAATTCCATACTGCGGAAAAGTCTGGTACTAAATTCTTTGCGTACATTAATAATAAGTGTAATAAAGTAGACGATAGTACCCGAGGAAAGGATTTTCATATTTTTGTATAGTTTTTAACATATTTATGTATGTAGCCGGGAAACCGCAACCGAGCGCGAGCTGAGCGCGCACCCTCTGCCCGTCTGCTGAGCGACGCACGCGCACCGCACGGAGATGCGCACGCGCAACAAGTAACTATATTACTATTAATTAATATATGAATTTAAATGGCTACGAGGGTAATAAGAGTATGGATGGATTATTACAGAGTATGGATTAAAAAAAGTCCAATAATAAATATAGATTGTCACCCAGGGATAGTGCAGCTTATCTACATTTAAATTGTCTCTGAGCCTATTCAATGCAAATAATTAAAGCTTTCCTCTTTATAATATTAGTGTCAAAGAGTATAGTAAGTATACTATGGAAAAAAAGTGATTAATGTTCAAGGAGTTTTTATATTCTAGCTGCCATTTAATCTTAGAAAAAAGAAAAAAATTTAAACTTGAATTTAGTAATGTCAGATCAGTTTTTTTTTGTTATTCATGTTCAACAATATTAACACATTTTTCCTATAATAAGGGTTATTTTAAATCCCTGTACAATTAGTATAAATAAATACAATAAATATTCGCAATGAAGTAATAAAACAAGATATTAATATGTTTTTTTTCGTAATCAGGGATCAAACAGCTGGGAGTGCAGTTGGCGTGAGCCGCCGAGACGAGCAGCCAGCGCTAAGGTCTGTCTCACTATACGTTTATTAAACAACAATAATTCATTTATGTTTATTTAAATCTACGGTTAAATTCATAATTGAATCTTGATAGAACACTATAAATGGATAGACATTTGCTTGAATATGTCAGCTTGATGTTACGTGACATTTAATTCTATCAATATTATTAGTTTGTTATCACACCACCGCTACAAACCATGACAATCAGCGCCAAAATGGCGAAAATCAAATGGGCACAAAATACTACGTCTTGTAGCCAGTCCATATACCATCATCATCAGCCACTATATTAGTCCACTGCTGGACATAGGCCTCTCCCATGGCACGCCAGTGAGCACGATCCTCGGCCACTCTCATCCAGCTCTGGCCAGCTGCCCTGCGAAGATCATCGCTCCACCGAGTCTGAGGACGTCGGACCCGTGGTCTAAAAAAGTGTGGTCAGTTCATTTATAAAATGAGTTAAATTGTAGTTTACAATTGTTCAGGTGTCGAGCAGTCAGTACGGCAGCGCGGAGTCCTCGCTGGAGGAGCTGGCGCTGGGCGGAGCTGACACCGCGACCACAGACTGCAGGCCCGCCAGGGGCCGACATGAACACCTCGCCAGGTATGTCACTCTTCTGCCCTGGATACGCTTTAACATCTTCGCACGAATTGTCCCGGCTCGCCCGGTGAAATACCACGACCACACAGAAGACAGGCGTCAAGTGGAAGCTATTCCGCGAGCAGTCTGATGTGAGTGCGTCCCGGAGGACTAATTTAGTCCTCTTTCCCTTCCTACACTTTTTCTTATAAGGAAAGGATGGGAAGTGGAAGTGGACTTTCCGGATGAGAGAATGCATGGAAAGGGAAGATATTTTCTTTCTGTGCATCCTCTCCTCCGTGGATTAAAGCAACGCATATGTTATTGCGTATGTCTATGGGCAACGGTCACTTCGCTATTTCAGCGATGTCAGGTGGCCGCTCGCACGTTTGCCGCCATATGATATAAAAAAAAATACTAAGTGCCGTGGAGATTTGGTGCTATATGAAAGTGTACACGAATGGCCATGTTCAAATTACATACACAGTTTTTCTTTTAAAAACGTTCAAGATATTATTGAAATTTATGAAATAACAAAAAAATGAAAATAAAAAGACAATATTAATATATATCATATCATATTAAATTTATTGATTATATTATTTACAAAAAAAAAAAGTTTATTTACATTTTTTTCTTGTAAATATAACAAAAGTTTATTTGCAAATAAATGAAATGTCAAATTAAATAACTTTACTATAATTTAAATATTCCAGATATTTCCTAAACGAGGGTACATCCAAAGATCTATCCAGACTGAGCAAAGATATAAGACACGAACGGGAAAGTTATCGCGAGCTGACAGGACGGTACACGGACAAGTCTGAAGCTATACCACTCAAGGAGACACATTACTCAGACTTATCTAACAAAGAAACTATACTGAAAAAGGAAACGAAAAAGGACTCTAAGCCTAAGGAAATAAAGACTAAAATCAAACGATCGGATTCCGGCAGGAGTGAGTTGAAAATGAACGTGAGTGTTGGCAGTAAAGTGCTGATTGTGGAGCCTCTGGGTGTATACGACTGTATCAACCTGGGCAGGAGGATCGACGTGCAGTGGCCCTCCGAGACGCAGAGGGAGAGGGGCGGCAGGAATTACTGGGCCAGCTGGGTGCCTATGGCAGGAATGGACGGACTGGTCAGTATACAAATAATATTTAAAAAGTTTCTTTACGCTTAACTCTTTGCGTTGGTGTTGATTTCAAATTTGTCAGCAATTTGTTTTTTTTTTGTAAAAAAAATCGTCAGGAATAAACTGCATATACATGTCAATTTTAAATTACTTCTCCATTTGCATTTTAATATCGTATTTTCTTCCTCTATAAGTATAGTATACTAGCTATCGCTTACGACTCCGTCCGCGCAGGATTGAAACTTAATAAGATGCCTATGTGTTCTTCCACGCTATGTTCTATATGTACCAAATTTCATCAAGATCCGTTTAGCCGTTCTAGAGAAAACTTCAAACATCCATCCATCTACACTTTCGCATCTTATCTATATATGAAAGAAAGTGGTGTTAGTTACACTATTTATAACTCAAGAACAGCTTTACCGATATGACTGAAAATTGGTGAGGAGGTAGCTTACAGCCAGGAAGCGGACATAGGATACTATTTATTCATTTTTTTCGAATTTATTCCTTGAAGAGCTGCTTTTTATTTAACTTACGAATGTATAGATGGATGTGATGTGGATGGATGGATGGGGGTTTCAAGATATCTTTAGAACGGCTGAACGGATCTCGATTAAAATTGGCATAATATAATCTGAAAGAACACATAGGCTAGACTAATTAAGTTTTTTTATATCCACGCGGACGAAGTCGCGGGCAACAGCTAGTTTATAATATTAGAAAGAAGACAGTCGAACCTGAATAAGAGAAAATCCAAAGTTCGACTTTATATTATCAAAAGGTGATTAAATAATATTTTGAATTATCTAGGTGGTGCACAAATGGACCCCCAACCACAGAGACCCCAAGTTGAGGTCACATGTCGACAAAACAATACTTCTCGTACAAATAGACGATAAATTCGTTCCCATAGCTGAAAACTGCGTACAAGATCTCGGCGATGAAGTTTGAATTTTATTCGTATCAACGTAAGGTTCAAAATTAAAAACCAAATATGAGATTGAATAAAATTGTCTATGGATTTGAAATTTGTGGTAATATTGTGTGATATGTCTTATAAGACTGTATTTGGATTTTGTAGAACAAATTCTTCGATTCTTGCCTAAGTTGGAATAATCGATTTCATATAACATAGTCAGCGTAAGATTCTTTGGTCAAAAATACCATAAACATTTTTTTTTTTTACTTTTGTCCGATTGATTTGGGGACAAAAAAAATATTTTGTCTCTTAAAAAGTATTATTTGATTTACATCTAGTGTTTTGTGCAAAAAAAAAAAAAAATTATGTCAATTTTTTTTATGACAAAATTTACACTGACTTTGTTATAAACTAACCTGATAATAATGTGTTTAGTTAAATTTAAATATAAATGCACTAATTTATATGTAAAAAATATCTTAATTATATAAATTTAATGTTTAGTTTGCAATATATATGTCCCGTGATGTATATACGCTTGTTTGTGTGTTGTAGACATCGTCGTGTATATAACAATGTATATAATGTAAAAACCGTGTACACTTCAATCCTAGCGTAAGTAGAATACTTTTTTTATTTTTTGTTAAATTTTTTTTATTACTTTTTCTTTAGTAAAATTATCGCTCCAAAAATACTTAGTCCCCCTCCGACACCAAAAATGCCGCGTTTTGTAAATTCTCGTATCTTTTATTTATGGAAATTATAGATTAAAAATGATTAAGGCTGAGTGCACACAAGCGAAAATTAAAAAAATATTTGTTAAAACGAATTTTCTTGACAATTTTAATCATGTGAATAATCTTATTTTGTCTCTTACCACAATTAAGTCAAAATAACGAAACAGTTGCATAAAATCAAAAACTATTATATGATTTCTTTTTTTTTTTCTTCTTATAATTAGGAAAATTTTGAATTGATTTAACTTTGACCATTTATTTGATAAAAAACATAATTAATTAATGCACAAAATGAAAAAAAAAACGCCTGATGAAAAAATTTTTTTTTTCGTTTTGTGGCTTAAGTTGAAAAACGGTCAGCACAATATATTAAAATTATTAATAAATGTTCGTCTGTTTGTTTATATTAAATCGTGTGCACTGCAATTGTTAATTGTTACACAAAATGGTGTATAATTAAATTATTCAAACTTTCGTGAGACATTATACTAAACTGATATATAAACACGACTAAACACTCACGTATATACGTCCGGTGGCGGCACCGACTAGTTTCGAGCCCATCGGGGGCCCTTCATCAGGGTGAGTGGTACTGGTATTATTTCGCGGACGCGGCACTCAGCTCACCGCGCCCGATGGGCTCGAAACTAGTCGGTGCCGCCACCGGACGTATATACGTGAGTGTTTAGTCGTGTTTATATATCAGTTTGGTGTATAATTTATGTATAAAAAACATATGTAAGTTATTTTGCGCGTACGATAATGCGTTGAGTTTTGAATATTTACTATATTCATACGTATATCATTCGCGAGTGAACGGAATCATAAATCAAGTGAACTCATTCATTTTATAATTATAACTTTAGTTTTTTTTATTATCTTTCAAAATCAAATATTCAAATCATGTAATATGTAATTTTTTTTTTAGTTTTGTCACAAAAAATAGTATCCACTGCCTAAGTTTATGATTTTTTAAATACTCAGTCACCATTTTTAATGAGGGAATATTTTTTTTATTCAGCCACTGGTTGAAAAATTGTCAAAATAACTCTTTGAAATAATAATAACTGTTAATAAATACAAATAAATTCATAAAACTTCATAATTTACTAAGAATTTCTTATTTCAAAAGGTTTGCTATAAGAAAATTTGAGATTTAACTTATTGTGACGTCAAATTGCATTAAAGGACCATACAATTTTCAAATTTAGATAAAATGTTAATTCTAAAGACAATCTTTACGAAAATTGCATTGTACTTAAATTATTATTATAAAAAAATATATTTTTTTTCGTTCAAAAAATTTTGAAAAATGTAAAAAATCTTTATGAATTTCGAAAAAAAAAACATGTTCTAATTATGGTTTACGATCATATTAGAATGTTTACTTTGCATAATTCTTACGGAATGGTTAATATTGTCGAGAAATCTTCCATTATCGACGTTAAATATGGTAGAAATTTGTAGGAAGGCACAATCCGTCCACAAAATGTGTTTTCTCGCGCCTCTGTATGGCTTGCGATTGAATATTAAATGTTTGTAAATGCAAATTTCTAACCTAAATCTATTGACATAAAGTTGATTATCAAATGTATGGTCGAATATTTAATAAACATTTCCATAGATTAAAAAAGGTTGCAATCGTTGTAAAATAACTGGCGATTTATTAACTTTTTAAAAAAAAACGAATCGCGTCTTAAATTGTTATTAAGTAACACATTACGTGTTTTTAATGCAGGAGAGTTGTTTATTCTTCTCCCCCATGTATACTCGAAGAGCCAATCCGTGAAATGTTTCTTGTTCAACTGTCGTTGAAGAGATTTCTTCAAGCCGCGCTACTGACTTACGATTCGTTGAGTATGTGTCCCATCTGATGCAACAAATCTATTCACTGAGATTTACTCTTTAATGAACATCAGTAAACCATTGATGTAGATGCCTCTTTTCGATGGGTTTTGATACCTTTTGCTTCATGTTAGGTTTTACAATGCTAGAAGTTTTCCCTTTCTATCCACCCCCAATGATCTCTTTAGTGGGTTTGAAGCTTCTTCATCTGAACCTTTCATGGAATCTGAATTTGTCCAATACTTTGCCTGCTCCGATATGGTTATAATTATTAATCAATACATCCACCACTCAAATATTCTTAAAAAATAAAGAATTTTGATATACCCGGTCCGTAATTATTTATTACAATTTCGTCTCGCCGCGATGACGTCACCGCGCGTTCGCCGCCGTCTGCCGGTCTCGCCGATCTGCCGCTACTGGCCCGACTCGTTTAAACACAAAATTATTCGCCAGTTTATTTTCTTCGAATCAACAGCGATATGTTAAAAATGTTGGTGTTTCTGAGTAAGAGCGTGACGTTTGTTTTTGGCGCCATCTCGCGGCACATTTCTGTTACTTGTGAATATCAAGCTATACTGAAATAAAATGGTACTTGGAAATTAAAATGTTTTATTTTAATTTTTTTACTACATAATATTGATTGGACCTTTCATATCAGGGTTTAAAAACAACATTTGCAATAATTTACCAGCCAGAATAACATAGGTAAGTAAAAAAGGTATGAATTGATCACGTGGATTAATTCGACATCTTTAGCATTTATTCCTATAAAAAACATACGGGCAAATTAAAAACCTTTTCCTTATTTAAAATCGGTAAACAAGAGATAAAATAAAACAATATTGATGATAAATATATTTATTAACACCCAGTGTAAGACATCACGAATATAAACATTCAAAAGGTTAAACGTGGACATTTACAATAAGATTATTTTGGACGAATTAATAAAAAAATAAAAAATATACAACTCCGAAGAAAAACCGGAAATGTGTCAGTGTATTGACTCAACACTAGTTTTACTAAAATGTCGACGTTTGTGTCGCATAACTAATCATTCTGACACTAGTCTTTGTAACGAAAGCACGTCATTCACGCCAAAGGATTGTAATTAATAATGTCTAAAAATAAAAAGAATGTTTTAACATCCTTTATGTAGGGTTCAAAGATAATCTGTGATTAATATTTTGGTGAAATCAAATAACTAGGAATATATTATATATTATATTAATATCGTGATACATATACGAAAGGATTAACATTTAAATAGCGAGGTAGTTTTGTTTCGAATTACTGGTATTTTTGGAAAACTATTAGGAAATTAAGTTCTTGCGAATACTTTGGAAAGTGGCATAGAGTAAATCGACTTTATTGTTTTGTTGATCTTAAAGTTTTCTATAACATGACTTTATGTACATTCAATTCGTTTTGATGTAACACTGAAAAAAAATATATAGCCACAAGTTTTTCTGGTAAATATTTTGTCAGTGCAAACAAATCCTGTAGTTCGGTTAAGTTCTAATTAAAATGATACCTATAACTTTCTATAACTATTTCCTATAAAGTGATGTAATTCAGTAAAATGGACCCACAAATGGTCCTAAAGTTTCTAGTATTAAATACACTACGTATAGTTATTTTCATTAAATTTCATCTACACATTCATTGATTTAATAATAAATCCATAAAGAAATACACTCGAAACTGATTTACCGTGGGTTTCCGAGCCCAAAATCTAAGTGATGTCAAAGACAATGACAGGGATCGCGATATGTTTTGTACAGAGATGCTGGTCTCAAAAACCTACGGTAAGCAAGAGTCATTGTCCTGTCGCGACCGATGACCTCCATAAACGAGAAAAATATCGCGGTCTCTTGTACTCTCGCTTATTCAGATCCTAATATATTGATAATTATATTTTTAAAATATCGACCGCACTAATAAAGCTTTGGGGATGGACACACATTACAACAAAAATGTTATACTACGTCGTTATACAAAGTTCGTTATTATTGTGGACAAAAGCTCTGGGGGTAGGACGAAATTCTCAACTTTGTTGCTCTGAACCTGAACCCAGATTTGAACCAAAAAGAAATAAGAATATAAATGTCGTTATTTTTCACAAAATGTACTTATTAAGAAAAAACAAGATTTAAATAATTGTTACTTACCTACCGTTTCATAGCGTAGTACCAAAGAGTCTGGACAAACCCGCAATGGGTTTATAGACACTTTTATTGTAAATTTGTATTTTATTCCTTGTTTATATACAGAAATAAAAAAAAATATATTTTTAAAAATATCCTAAAACTACGATTAAAAAGGGCTCGTTAGTGCAGAGCAATAAAGTTGATTTTATAATTATGTTTACCTTCTAACTACAACCATTCTAAAAATGGATAATCTCCTAGTAAATATTATGAAATGTAATTTTAAGCTCAGTTCATATACATTTGTATGCGTAAAACTACAAAAATCAATACTGTTATTTGACTATCACAATTTAAAAAACTATACTAAATTGGTGGGGTTGCAAGCATCTAAAAAGCTTTATATTTGCTATTTGGCAGGATTTAACAAATTGGTCTTAAATCTAAACCTAAAAAGCTTATAAATACTATGATATTAAAACCCTTTAGACATGTAGAGGATGTTGCAAATTAAAATTTCTTAAGTAATATTTTTTTGCAACGATTTTTTTCATTTACATGTTTTCCACTGGTTTTACTGTTTGAAAATATTTTTTTTATTTGTTATGAGTATCCTCTGAAAAAAGGTACAATTGTTAAGTTTTGTACTAATAAATTTAAAATGTTATAAAATTTTAATGTTGTATTTAAAAAAAAAACATCACACTTATTCTTTGAAAAAACTAGGATGAGAAGAAAACTGAGAAAAAATGGTAAAATTAAAAAAAAATCATTTAAAAAAAAACAAAAAAAATATTAAAAGCACATCGTAACGAAAAAAGGCAAGAAAAGAAAGAAAAAAAAACAAATAAAGCTGTATAAAACGTTTATTACATAACAATAAAATTCATTCTATATTGTCAATAATTAATACTACACTTTATAAAAACACATTTCTCACCATACAACCCAACTGCACTTGTATTACATATTTTCGTCTCTTTTATTCTTTATGACAAAAAGAGACAAGAATATGTATTAAAACGGATCTCTATAAATGGATAGGTGATTGCTTGGAAATTACATCTTTTACATTGTTCCAATTTAAACGCGCCTGTTCAATGTTACGTGACAGTTAATTCTATCTATATCAATAGTTCCAAACTACACCACCGCTATGAACCGCCACAATCAGCGCCAAAATGTCGGTAATCAAATAGGCACAAAATACTACGTTTCATAGCCATTCCATTTATAGTGGTCAATGTTAATATAACGGCTGAATTCTATAGATTTTAACACTTATTTTACTCAGTCAACACAAATTAGCAGAGATTAATAAATTTGAGTATACAGTAAGAAATAAAATGCAATGTACTATTTTGTAATTGTACAATTAAAAATAAAATATTTTTTAAAACATTGATATTTAAAAAAATTATCTGCATTATTTTTCAACGTTTTTTTTCATGAGACAAACTATTTTGTCAACAAAAAAGGCAAGAAGCTGCCATATTTTAAATGGTTGAAGATAAAATCAATATTTATTTTGTAAATGGCATTGGCATAAAAAAACATCCCCTTTACAAAATTTATTCTGTACATAAAAAAAAAAAGACAAAGCAAACTTATATTAACAAAAATAAATATATAGTTTATTTTCAACTAAAATAATATTTATTTACTTATAATTTTGTATTAATTTAAGATTTGTATAGTTAGGAAGAAAGTCCGGAAATGAACCAGTGTGTTGATTCAACACTAGTATTACTAAAATGTCGACGTTTGTGTCTCATCACTAATCATTCTGACACTAGACTTTGTAACGAAAGCACGTCATTCGCGCCAAAGGATTGTAATTAGTAATGTTTAAAAGAGTGTAATTTTCAGGATTTTTTAACTTTACCTACAGATTATATTTATTTTGCCTCATATATGTCATAAAAATAATTTATTTTAACTTTATAAGGTTTGTTTAATTTGAAATATGAAGTATCACCACAAAAAAAATGTTTGTTTGGTTTGTTTATTTTTTTAATCCAAACCAGTGTTACCATACTAAATTGGCAAGAACAAATTAGAGAGTAACATACATAAGCTGCTTTTTGACTTTTATATATATTTTTTATATTTTATATAATCAACATTTATTTATATTCACTAATTAACATATAACCAAAATTATTAATCATATTTGGTCATTGTTTAATAAAACTGATATCTACAATTAAAAACCATAGCCTATGAGTTAGTTTTCTTACCGGACATTTTGTCTATGAGGTTTGTAATCATGTCTGCATCCACCAGACCTATGAATTTATCTACAATCAAGCCATTCTTTACAGCTATAACTGCCGGGACTGCTTTTACCTGGAATCGTAAAATAAGACTTCAGACAGGATGGATGGTTGAAGGTATCTCCGCAATGGCTGAACTGAATTTCATTAAAATCTTTAATGAAATTTGGCACACATGTAGAACATAGTATGGAAAAACATGGCTACTTATTATGGTTTTTTTTATATTCCTCGTTGATGGATTAGCAGGAGACAGCTAGTTTAAGCATAAAATATAGAGTAAAAAAATATATAAACATACTTGTAACATTTTAATCAAATACAATATCAAATTACTTAATAATACCCAAGAGTGCTGCCACCAGACAAATATACGAGAGTGTTTAGCAGTTTTTATATCAGTTTATTGTCTCACGAAAGTTTGAATAATTTGATAACCAAGAAACAACAACATAAACCCAGAGGGGTAGACAGCGACCATAGACCTCCATTTGGCGCAGTCCTGACACACCTATGAAACCTCTATAAGCAATAAAAATATCTAGATTCAACTGTAATTCTGTATATTGGTAAAGATATTCTTGAAAAGTGTGTCTGAGTTGTGGATTGTTAAATCAGTCTGGAGAAAAAATTTGAGTCTGACTTACTGGAAGATAAAAACATACCTCAAATGTATGCACTAGATCAGCATTCTCTTCCACATCAACAATCGCCAGATCCAAGTTATCCAGCGGTTCAATCAATTCCTTCAGTTTTGGTGTGAGGATTTTGCACGGCTCACACCATTCCGCATGGAAATTTACTATTACCGGCTTCTCATTGTTCATTACCTTTGAAAAAGATCACAAGATATACTACCGTTACACTCGGAGATCCTTAATGATTACTTTATAACTTTATTGCAACAAACTTTGATAAGTTCACATAAATAAAATGTTGATAGCTGGTTAAACAGGGGCTAATAAAAACTGCATTAAGGAGTCCTTCCTTCAGCATCATTAAATTACTGAGAGTTTCAATTAATATATTCTATAGTATATATATAATTCTTCTGTGAGTGTGTATGTCACTGAACTTCTCTCAAACAACTGCACCGATTTTGATGAAATTTTTTGTGTGTGTTCAAGGGGATCTGGGAATGGTTTAGATTTACGCTAGTCTTTTATAAGATAATTTGAAACATAGCCAAGATGACATTGTATGTTAATGATATTTGGATATATTTAAATCTTTTTCTTTTAATACTGAACGAAAAGACTTGTACAAAACATGCATGCAAGTGAGATAGGGGCCGCATCCGCGAAATAATACCAGTCCCACTCATCCTGATGAAGGACCCCCAATGGGCTCGAAGCTAGTCTGTGCTGCCACCGGACGAATATACATGAGTGTTTAGCCGTTTTTATATCAGTTCATGTCTCCCGAAAGTTTGAATAATTTAATGTTTTTTTTTAGATTTTTTTTCACTAAATATGAAAATTGTATTATTTTTTACATCTAAACTAACCTTATTAACAAATTCTTCGTTATTCTTAACTAATATAGTTTCATTGTGAACTATTGAGGTTGATATTGCTTTAGCTCTTCTCAAATTTGCCAAACTCCTCATCGGCGAGCGTAAGCCCTTGCTTATAGCATTATTCATTTTATCTGTAAAGAGTTTAGTTATATACATCACTAGCAAATAGTGAATTTCGTCTATTTGAAATTTACCTAAGTTAATTATCAAACACTCAAAGAATATAAATCAAATACCACAGGTTCTTTTAAGAAGATAAGAAGGGGGCAAACAAGCAGCGGGAAGACAGAGGTTAAAATTAGTCCACTTTCATGCACCAGACGCCATAGAACTTAAAAACTAGCATATTATAAAATCTATCCCACAAAATATATATTACCGTTCCTTGTCACTTGTAGTCAGGTATAGAAAGCTTATTTTAAACATGATTACATATAAAAATAACACATAAGATACATTTTACAATGGACTGATAAACTACTTCAACTCAGGAAGTGACATTCATAAAGATAACTGTAATTTCTTGAGCTCTTGATAATGCAGAATATAATGCTTTGCTCAAGTTTAATAAGCCATATTGTTATCATTGTGTAAAATAATAACGCTATTTATAAATCACATGACCAAGATAGGACAAAACTGTACACTAAGCAATGATTCGAACATAATTTCTTATTTTTTTATTTTTTGTAATAATACCAGTTGATGTAATAAATTGTCGTGGCAGTTGTGTTCCGTACGGAGATCCCGCCTCCCCCCTTGTTAGCGCCGGTGGCCACCACCGTGGGGTTTTAGTCAGTGCAAGCCCGACTTAACCACCGTACAGTACAGTACAGGTATGGTAAGGCATTTTCCCCACAATAAAAAAAAACAGAGATGTAATAAATATTAAACTATAACTTAGGGAAGTAGTTGTAATGAATTTACATCAGGCATAGTTATTTATTGTAAGAATTTTTTTGTATATGTAAAATGTGTCCCATAAAAAATTTCAGTATATGACCATAGTATCTATATTACATTAATATGATTATATGAGTAAGTTAACCCTAAGAGTAGACTCCAAGACCTTCGGGGTGTATGCATATGATGAGACAGCAGATAAGATCTTTATAAAAATGCACAAACATGTATGAACTCACCTACAATAAAATCTAATTGTTTGAACCAAAACTTTTGACTTTACGAGTTTCCACTGGGGCTAAACACACGTAGATAAAGGAAAATACGCTTCCAACAACAAAACTAATTAGCAATAACGCGAAAATCGTATATCGTGGGACGTACGTAGTGTCGTAAAAATTGGCACTTGTATACTCCTCATCCCCTTTTGGCAATGAAACTAAAACAATTGTTAAAATAGTCGAAATTGTAACGGCTATCTTGCCTATGTAATGACCAGTTTTCACAGAAATCCAACATAACATAAAAGTAATGAACCAAACCACTGATAAGAAATATACCCCAACACCGAAGTTAGACATGATGAGGCATAGTTATTGTAAGCTCTAAATAAACATTACAATGAAGAACAAAAATGGTTAGGCATTCCATTCATGCAATAAGAAATTATTTACTTTATCACAAATCACACCACAGTTTAGTATCTCATATTTGGCGGAAACCTCACGTACTAGGTATTCGACAAGTGATATTTTTACAGGTTTCAAACTGTGGTACACTGTGGTTACAAGGTTTTACACAATTTAAATACACGAAAAGAAAAACATTGACACTTCAAATACATATAAAATTTTACTCCGTTGCCGTAGCTTTTCAATTTTCAACTTTGTCGTAATCGCCACAGACTATAGATTTTTTATTTATTTGTGGCACAAATGACAAAGTGATGACTACTACTGCTATGATAGGTAAGAAAAAGAAATATATAGCGGTAATTTATATGCGGTATCAGATTTAATATTCATAGTTTTAATGACAAAAATTCTTTATTAGCCACGTCTTTGTTAAACTTTAGATTATCAATTGTGTACTTTTCGTTTACTGTCATCGTGTTTGGCTAGCAATACAAACTTTTAAATTGGTTAAATAATCTTCCTTATTGTAAGAAAATTGATTATTAGAGTGTTGATGGTCTTAAATATTTAACCATTTGAATAAAATTACAGCTGAATTCGCTTATCAACTATCTCTATCTAGAGACTTTCAAGGCAACCAACATTGGAAATAAAAAAATTATTATCTGTGCTCAGCTGACGTCGTTATGTTGTTACAATTGATATAACAGTGATTTTTCTAGTGCTGTGTGTTCCTGTCATTTTTATTTAGAAAGGTAAGTTTTATATTTCCTTACAATACAAACGATTTAAAATAAACTCAAGTACATATATAGGATAAATATGTAAATTTATGTAATTGCAAATCTCGTTTATAATGCTGCAATACGAGTTTAAAAAACTAAATTTGTAACGCCATTTTCCGCATCTGCCAGTCATCTGAAACAATTTTTTTTGTTTTATTATTCATCATTTATATGCACCAACTATTCAAGATTTGTGGCACTACTAACATGGTTATTAAGACTGCATATAACAAGCGTAATACATGCATGTTATATTATCAAAAGTGGCGATTGACATTTGATGACTAATCGGCAACAACTGAGTATTGCACTTTGCGCGTTTACAAGGTCTAATAATCTTGTACAAAATGTAAGAACAGTACAGAATACTATAAAGTCACTGACCTAATGGTATTTATTGTGTAATTAAGTATAGGCCAGTTTAAACAATGTCACTGCTTTAACCAAATATTCCGAACAAGTTTCATGCAAGATTTTGTAAACTTATTATTTAAAGAATACTGATTTCTAGTATTATCTATTAGGGTAGTAATAACATCAATATTTTCATATAAGAAGCGAATAATGAACTGGACAGAATTTCCGGTAAAGAATCTATAAAAAATTTAAGCTTTATGTCAATATCGAAAAAAATATATATATACTCGTATTGTTGAAATATTTGTTAGGTTTATAATAAGTTAGTTGAATAGGACAATAGTGCTCAAAATTAGCGCTGGCAAACAACTGGCATAATATTAACACTGACTGGCACCAGTGAGACAGAAGAATCCATGCCAGGCCACCGCTTTTATCTTACTGTATTGGCATAATGTAAATGGCATTATGCATTATTTCAAGTTCAGTTTGCTTTTGCATATTGATAGAATCACAAATAAACTATGACTTGAATCTTCACTAAATTCTCATTCAGTGCTGTAACATTTCTTGTGTAAAGATTTATACTATCTTATCTCTAACACATTCAATGCCGACATTTTTATATGTGCAAAATGAACTTGCAGCTTACAGCGTTAGTGGTGCTTAATGTGTTAAAATTATTACCTCAAAATTATACTGTAGATTTTTATTTAGTATAAAACATGGACAGCAATTTTATATATGTTTGAACTTGTATTTCATTTATATTTTAGAGATAGATAAATACAATATCTTGCATCTAGATAAGATATGTCCATGACATGGAAGAGAATTTTGTGATTGTTGGTTTAGTTTTTATGGTGAGTTTTCAATGCCAACACACTTGTACAAGAACATATACTTATCTCTGTTTCCTTCAAGGAGAATGATATAGATGTCAATGTGTTTTAAGACAGTGTTGTGTTATTTGATCAAATCACAGCATGAAATTTATACTGAAAACAAAGTGAAACATATAGTAAAAAAGTGACAATCTTAGTAATATTATAAATGTGAATGTCTAGATGGATGGATGTTTCTTGCAAGTTAACTCCAGAATGACTCAACAGATCTTGATGAAATTTGGCATGGACGTAGAATATAATGTGAAAGTATACATAGCCTACTAATTTCTTTTTAATTCCGAGTGATGGAGTCGCAGGCGACAGCTAGTCAATGCTATAAACAATATGATAGTGCAGTAAACTAAAATAACTCATATAATAAGGGAAAATTCTTTAAAGATAGTGTAGATATTTGTTTGATGATATTATAAATTGCAAAATAATTCTTAGAGATTACATTTTTTTAATATCTGCAATAGTGAACTCAGAATGCTATTGTTTTGTTTTTTTTTGTTTATTATCTGTCAGTTGCATTGGATTTCAGCCAACTATTTATGTATTCAAATAAAGACAATAGAAATGTAATTCCATGAGTCATTGCAAATAACAAATACATTTATTTTTAATCTGCAGTTTAATAGCCCTTCTTACTGCATCATCATCATCAGCTCATTATACGTCACCACCGAGGGGCTAAGTGGGTTAAGGGTGATTAGGCCATAGTGAACCACGCTGGCCAAGTGCGGGTTGGTTGACTTCACACATAGTTGAATTTCTTCTTAGACATGTGCAGGTTGCATCATAATGTTTTCCTTCACCATGAGAACATCGGATAAATGTACATATGTAAATCGGAAATCGAAAAACACATTGGTTCATGGAGGGATTCGAACCCAGGACTTGCAGATTTCAAGTCAAGGGCTTGAACCCTAAGCCACCGATGCTCTTGCTGCATTTTTGGACTTTTAATGTGGTGATAAGTAACCTAGAGTTTTCTCTGGTATTGCAGATGTCCATGGGCTTTGATGAACTCTTTGGTGTTCCCACTGCTTGTTTGCCCCCTTATCTTATAAAAAAAGAAAAGAATTCAAAAGTATTATTTTTGAAAATATATTTGAATAATATGAGTCGAAAATTGTCTCGGCACATTCAAACTCTTTAGTATTATTATAAAAATGTAGATTTTATAAACTTAATAATTAAATTATGAAGTCAAAAATAGTGTGGAATTATATGTATATTTAAAAGATTTAAATCAGAATTCCTGTAATATTGTCCTGTATTGTCCTGTATTCCTGTATGTGTCATGTCAATTTAGTGTCCATCTTTTAGTCGAAAAAAAAATCACATGCACTTGGATTAGTTATTCAATCATATGTAAAGTACGAAAATACAGTTTCAAATGTCTGGTATTGTATATCCATTGTGTGATATCCGTAACGGGTAGTGTAGGACAGTGGATACTGTCCCGGTCGCCGCTCAAGGCCACGGCCGTGCCCAATGGTCCAATGAATGGTCGAACCGTGACTCATTACCTCGAGATACGTTTCCGTAAAGGCAAATATAACTAGATTTACTAGCAATCGCCCTCGAATCCGTCCGACAGAATTAAATAATAATATTTGGTACCCAACGTGTGCTTCCAGACTATGTTCTACAACTATGCCACATTTTTGTTAGATCTGTTCATTCGATTTGGAGATACCGTCTAACAGATATCTATACGTTCAACCATCCATCTAAGCTTTATTATTTATATTATAGGTAAAATTAGGTTAGGTAAAATCCATAGACAATTTTGAATACCAATTTTTATACTGTGCCAGTATTGAAAATGGGTATAAAAAGTGCTGTTTCGTTGTTAATTACTGTAAACTTGTACATCTTCGTTTAAAGAAAGCACAATGAAGAGTTAATTTGAATTAGAAAGTAGTACAATGGATTGTATCCAGTAAAAAAAATACATCTAATCATAATTAACAGTAACAATAGATTTAATAGTAAACTTTAGTTAATTTTACAATTTTTATTCGAAATTTTACTTATATGTTAGAAGTATTACTATAACTAGGTATCGGCCGCATTGTCCGCGTTGATTAAAAAAAACAATCGGTAGCTTGTGTGTATGTAAAAACATCGTGATGCAACCTGCACATATCTGAGAAGAAATTCAAAGATATGTGTGAAGTCAACCCGCACTTGACCAGCGTGGTTGACTATGGTCTAATCACCCTTAACCTAGGGTAGGCTCCGAGCCCCTCGGTGGGGACGTATAGTGAGCTGATGATGATGTGTTCTTTGAGTCTATGTCAAATTATACCGAGATAGCCGATCGATCCCAAAATTCGCATTTATAATATTAGTAAGATGTATTAGCAGAACAATTTTTTTTAAATTTAAACTTAACGTTATCCTCAATAATTCGTATCTTATAATTTAAAAAAAAAGTTTTGTTTCTTGTCTCTGGCACTCGACAGGGTTGCCAACGTCAAGGTTACTTGCTGTCAAGTTCATGCAAAAACTGGATTGCATCGCGACTATGATGTGCGACGACGAAAATAGCTTATGTTTGTTGCTAAACAAAAAACGCTCGTAAATAGTTATTACAAAGGCGGGATAAAAATTAGGCAATAACACACCTGCAAGAATGTTAGTCAAGACGAAACGAAATATTTGTGTAGAAATAGAATTTTAAATAATATTTCAAAAATTTTAGTAAATATTTTTACATAAAAAAAATTAAGGCCTTATACTGTATTCTTAAGTTTCTTTCAACTGGAAAAGATTCCTATTTTTATATCATTAAAGATGAATTTATTTTTGTGGCTAGACTTGCTATTATTACTCTACCTAAAAATAAGTGGACCACAAACGGAATGCTTATAAATTTATTTATGTCTATCTTATCTTTTTCAACTTTTGTGTAAAAGTTCATCGACCGGCCATAGACACGTTATTTAAGTTTCGAACGTTATTTCAAATTTAACGTTATTTAAAACTTAACGCTAAGTTGTTTATGGTCATTAAGAGATTAAAGGAGTAATTTCTTAGTCAATGGGTATTTTATGTATGGTTTTAGAGTTACCTATATCAATATTTGGGAGAAAAAAAATCTTATTAAAATATTTAAAAAGTTAATCCTTACATCGTCTATGAAGATCATAATGTGGCTATGATAAAAAAGGTTGTTCAATAAATTTAAGCCAACGTTTAAATCTATATATATATATATATATGAAAGTCGTGTTATTTACACTATTTATAATTCAAGAACGGCTTTACCGATATGGTTGAAAATTGGTGAGGAGGTAGCTTAGAGCCAGGAGACGGACATAGGATACCATTTATTCTTTTTTTCTTCGAATTTACGCCTTATTTAACTTATCTATATGTTATTTTTTTTATATATCCACGCGGACGGAGTCGCGGGCGACAGCTAGTAACAAATGAAAGTGATGCCTACTTTATTTAGGAACAGAGACTTATTAAAAAGATAAAAAAAGAACTTTAAATATGTTGTTATAATGATGATACTATCCTTGGAAGGTAACGAACAGAAAATAACAGAAGTTTTCCAAATATAGACAGATGACATTCCAGTCGGCCTAGGGCATATATTATGTCTGGGTATATAGCTATGGACGTATTGATAAATTGCACCGCCACTCGTCTATGGCGGCCGAGCTATTTACGCCCCATTGGGTCCTTGTTTTTATTTGTGTCGGACCAACATCGGTTGAGGTATGCAGAGTATAAAAAAGTTTAACATTTGCATATTTTCTTAGTTTCCACTGACGACTACCAAGAATAATATCTTCTTGAAAGAGACGTTATAACCCCAGGGAAAATTGCTATTTTACTTTTTACTATAATAATATTATAAATGCGAATGTTTGGATGGATGTGTGTTACGAGATCTCCAGAACAGCTTTTTGGATCTTGCTGATGTAGAACATAGTATGGAAGACAACATAGGCTACTAATTAAGTTTTTTAATGCCATGCAAACGGAGTCGCGGGCGACGACTAGTACAAAGTTTTAAAAAGTAAGAAACATTTTTAAATAATGACATTTCATTTTACGATCTCAAAAGTATAGAGTAATTTATTTGAAAGCTTTTTAGGTCTTACAATGTGTTAGGAATATAAGTTTGCACCCATGTTATGGCTTAGAACAGTGGTTCCCAAACTTATTTTGTCTTCTGCCCATTTTGAGAATAAATATTTTTTTAGCGCCCCCATATTTTCACATATTTAAAAACCACTATAACTTCAAATTAAAATAATTAATTATTGTGACCTATATATGTATATTAACGGAGAATTCTAAACGAAACTTTTACTATAACCGACAACTTGAAACCTGCAGCGCCCACAAGGGGGCGTTATCGCTCACTTTGGGAAAGACTGGCTTAGAAGATTAAAGTACTTACGTTTTCCATTAAAGGAATTGAAATGGTTTCTATGAGATTTAATACATTCTTAATCATATGAGGCGTTTAAAGTTAATTAAACGGAAACATAATATCTTGTTTAGCGGTGACTTTGAAAAACAATTTGCGTAGAACAAATCATAGTCCGGACTCTATTATTGCAAATATTACTAATGAATTTTATTCGCTTTATAAAATTAATTTAAAATTAGTCGTAGTTTGCTAATTTTGCGTCTATTACCTTGGATTTGTTTGCATAACAGAACGCATAAAATTTGAAATTTCATAGAAAAATAGTTTAGCAAATTATTACGAAATTGATTTTTGCTTTTGAAGTTAAGTTATAGAGATATTATTTTTTAGACGTCGATTTTGATCTCGGAAACTCACAGTGATCAGCTTAGTTACTATTACTGGCTAATTTTAATAACAAGAACACAGATCAACATTATGTCAAATTAAAATTAATATTGAAATGCTGATTTAAAAGCGTTAACCTAAAAGACCTCTCATCCGCAAAGGTTACCAATGCAGTAGAACCTTCAGTCTACTGCCAAGAGTTGCATCATGACATTTAGCAGGTCGCCATGTAGAATACCAATTCTGGCCTGATTTCAGCTACTCTTTATTTCTTTAAACACATATTAGAGAAAAGTGACATGATGGTAGTAGTGACACATCTATACTAATATTATAAAGCGGAATAGTTTGTTTAAACGCGCTAATCTCAGGAACTACTAGTTCGATTTGAAAAATTCTGTTTTTGTTGAATAGTCCATTTATACAGGAAGGTTTTAGGCTATATAACATTACGCTGCGACCGATAGTTTTTTTTTAATTCCTCGCGGACGGAGCCTAGTTTTGTTTTATCATACTAATATTAAAAATGCGAACGTTTAGATGGATGGATGGATGTTTCTTTGAAGGTATCTCCAGAACGGCTCAACGGATCTTGATGAAATTTGGCATAGATGTAGAACATAGTCTGTAAGAACACATAGGCTACTTAGTTTTTTTTAAATTCCGCGCGGATGAAATTTCTGGGTACAGCTAGTATCTTATATGTTTGATTTATTGCGTGTAATGACTTCATCGTGGATGTATTTAATTAGTTAATACGGTGAAAGTCGCATGCCAGTGTTGCATCGATAGAAAAAATATCATTATCGATAATCGTGAGAAATAATTTCTATACGTTCACTTGTTTGAAGATAGGTTTTGAAGCAGATTATACTGCAATTTTAACTTCTCATTATTACGAATACGTATTGTCGTGTAAGACAACGGATAACAGAGTAATCATCAAAACACTTATGTCTTGGAGTTTTAAAAATTGTGGAATGCGATAAAAACTTATTATTTCCGTTTTTTCCTTCATGTAATATTACGTACTTCCTGGTCAGCAGTCAAGTCAGATGTTGACATTTGGTCGTTATTATGTCATTGTGTGATTTGTTTTATTTCCGTTTGGAATTCTTGTTATTTACTATTTAATATTATCAGTTTACTATTATACATTTTTCCCGCAACTTCGATTCCGTAGAATTATAAACACATAGACTTTTTTCATTTACTTTACCGTTTTTCCGGGAGTTTTCCAAAATATTCTTTTAAAACATGTTACTATGTCAAATATGAAAGACAAGGATAATGATATGTTTTACACAGATACTATAATAGCTGTCGCCCGCGACTCCGTCCGCGCGGGATTAAAAATAGATGTTGGCCGATTCTCAGACCTACTCAATATGATCACAAAATTTCATGAGAAAATTGTGACACGAGAATTTTAAATATAAGATTGGTTTTAGAAACCCACTACCCCTATCTTTATATCGTTACAGCAGTAATTTTAAATTGAGAATGTAACAGTTTAGGGAAAAAAACTTTATTGCTACAAGAAAAAAAGAAAAAGTACTACAAAGAAGAGAATAATATGTAGCGAATGTAGTTCATCTGGTTCATTCTGTTTAAAATAACTTTCTACACAAAGTAAGTCTACTGGAAAACTAAGTTTTTCTGTTTGGCAAACGGTTTGCATTCGCATGGTTATGTGGCCAGACATCACGGCGTCCTTTCTATTGATCAACTCGACCTTGTATTTTGTACCTGTTTTTACTTAAATTATTTATTACATGACTCATATACGTATCATAATTTTTGTTTTCTATTACTTAGACTTCTAACTGGTCAGTACGTGAGAAGTACACTAAGTTATTACTTAAATCAGTAGTGAAAGAAGATGATATAATTTTAAAAGTCTTAAAGACAATACAGTTCTTAATTACTATTGAATTAATGATCTTTTTTAATTCCTTACTGTTTGCTCGTAGACGTAAGAATCGATCAATACTTGTTAAAAGTTCGTAGCCATCCTGTTTTAGTTTGCACTATCTGTTAAAGCATCATGATTCATGAACCCCCTGTATACTGCAAGAAGGCGTGCATGTGTGCATGTGTATGTGTGTGCGACCGTAGGTATGCGGTAGGGGTGTTCAGCCGCCCCTAATGGGGTGAGTAGTGATGTGCAGTGTGCATCGATAGTTGAAATTTTTTTTTTCAGTTTCAATTTTATACTTTCGCATTTGACTTTATTTATTTAACACTTCTAGAACTATTTATTCTGTTATCTATTTTATTTACCAAACGCCGATACATTATTTACTATCACGAACGGATTATTATGGTGCTAATATTGTCAGTGATGTTTATTTAGTAAAGGCGAGAAATGCCAGTAAGTGTAGGTTCAGCTACAAATAATTGTATTGATACATATTGTCATCCTTCACGTTCTCTTTGATAAAACAGAGACAATAATAGGTATCAATACATGTGTCACGCCAGTCGAAACCCACAGTAATATAATATACACCTGTTATCTATCGACTCGATATAGATTATCGAGTGGCGCTTGCGTGCCACACTAGTCTTTGCTTCTCTCCAGTACGCACCCCGCAGCCGACGGGAGCGGACGTCGCGTCACTTATCCTGTGCCGGCTACAAATAAACGCTAATGTTTGCGCGTCCAGTGGTGCCGTCCCGACGACTTTTTCTATTTTAAACTGTGTGTCCTTTATGTGCTAGGATATTTTATCTTGGATACTTATACGTGTTATTGAAGACTGGTAATCTGGTGACTTATCTTGGTTTATTAGGAATGCGATTGCGTGTTGTAAACGATGTTTTTTTTATATTTATATCGATTGTGTTAAGTCGTCGGTTTCGCCGCATTGTGTGGCGAAGGCTGTTGTTGCATGTTGAGTTAATCTTTTGATTTGAACATGCAGTGTTTGTTCTAATTATATTTATTGGTTAGCACGATAAGGTCGCTGATAAATTTTATCAGAATTTCTAGTTTCTTGAGATTGTTCTATCGCTTTCTTTGTTGATTTTTTGTAGAGTTCGTGGTTTTGTAGTTTTTTTCCTATAGTTAGTATTTTCTTATTAGAATAAAGTTAATAGAAAACAGCTATGCTATGTTGTTATTGATCAACTGACCATGTCGTTTGTATGGTCAAGAGTATCGGCCATTACTATACCGGCTTTGTGCAAAGTGCATCGACGTTTATTCAGGATTGGCTATATCAGTTTTCAAATCTATGTCTTTCAAGTTAGAGTACATTTTTCTTTAATCTTGTTCGTTTTTTTTCTATTAGCCTCTATACGGTTTTTACACGGCACGCCTGTTCGCGTCAATGCAATTACAGGAATCTAAGTGGAGCTATAGACTGAACAGTTTTATTGGATTTATTTTGAAAATTTTATTTTCTTGGATTTTTTTAGATAACGTTTTAGTCTTTAAATCTTGATTTATTTCATCGTAAAAGGACTATGACTGTTTTCAGTAGTAAAAAATAAATTTGAACAAAGGATCTTTGTTGAGCGTAACATTTTGAGTACTTTGATAAAATTGAAAAGTTAAGGGACCAACGTTTGATTTTGAATCTACTGACTATTATAAATACTATGTAACACGAAGTACGCGAATTATAGGGAACTCTGTTATGTAAGAACAACACGACATAACATTAGGTTACATTGTTACATTAATCAAGTCTTTGTTTATGCTTATTTAGTAGGTTTTCAGACCAATTGACAAAGGTATTAAAACGTTTTGTTCGAATACCAGTTTGTATTGCATTGGTTGAGGAACGCCGGTCAGTTCGCTCGACTGGCTAACTGGATCGCTGACTCATGGTACGGTATGACGGTCGAAACGAAAGTGGACATTGTCGATAGTACAAGAAAATACATTTTTAACATAAACGAATAGACACTAACACAATAACTTAAATTGTACGTAGAAATTATGATACACTTGTTTATTTAGAAAAAACAAAGACTAATTAACTAACTTCTTTAATACTCCAGTGAAAAACGAATAAAAGACATCTCACTCATCCAAATCGGTTTAGTTATTAAGACTGCAGAAGTTGACAATGGAATTTACATACAAATCAGTCAGTCTGACTAAAAATACTTAAGCATTATGCTTACGACCCCCTTAGTCTAAGACCCCCATAAAAAAGTATAATCTTAGTATATCTTCTACGGTTTTAAACTTAATTGGATTGTGAGATTCAATTAGAACGGTCGAGTCAAGTGGCGTCAATATTTCTAACAGACACTAGTAATCTCGGTCACACGTGCTCTACGGTTTCTAATCTAAACTTATATTTAGCTTATGAATTGAACTGTTTAAACTACATTACGAACATTTTTTACAGTTAAAACTAATAACCGTTTCTTTCATTTACGTGCAGACAAACATTCGTTAATAACGGAAGATGAACCTGAAGGGTAAAAAACGTATGCCATGACCCCATGACGGACACCACATGAGAAGACTCATGTGGTGTCCGGTGTGAACAGATAAAACTCTAATTATAAATTGATGTCTTTTAAATAAGTTATGGAAGAAATTTAGTGAAATCAACGTTTTATAACTGAAATACATTTGGGACGCTCAAATCTTTTTGGCGATTACTTATGCTCAGTGTCCTACTTCTATAGTCTTTTAGTGTTTGCTGCAAAGTTCAATTGCCTATTTGCATGTATTTGAGATGAAAAACAAGTGAAGTGCTTCGTCCGATTTTCAAAGAAATTCGTTTGTAAGCGGATCATTTCAAGGCGCCTTTGCAAGGCTTCAAGGCTTGAGATTTCCCCCGAGCAGCATGACCCGATTCTGAACATTGACGAAGGATTGCTTTCTTGCTTTCGAACTCCTTTTTGGAGCAGTGAAGAATTTAAAATATGTAATTTTAAGTTTGAAAAAGTGTATATACCAAATTCATTTACTTCTTTATTGTAAAGTATTGAGGTTCTATAAAAAGGTTTACCTTGATGTTGTTTTTGTCCAAAACGATAACAAGGGACGTTTGTCTGTTATTTATAACATTCGTGCAATTATTTAAAAAAATGTCATTTTCACTGATAAATAGATAAGTCTCCGTCATAAGGCAGCTGCATAATTATGCAGCAACTCGACGCTCCAATCTCTGACAATTAATTTGTTCTTTGCGCAATTCTTCCATTCTGCTCCATTTACGATGACGTTTAAATGCTTTGAGGATTTTTAAATGCAGATAGTCTGAGTACATTCTATATATCTGGTTACTGGTCACATCGTAATCTCTTAACCGCGAGTTTGTGAGACCGAAATGTCAATTTAAAACATATTGTTATCTCTATTTTGTCAAAGATAACGACAGGGATGATGACATGTTTTATACAGAGATTCTTTTGTTAGAAACTCACGGTAAATTGCTAATCGTGTTATGTGACGTCAGCAAGTAAGCTAAACCAGTAATGTCATTGGATGACATCCTACGTTCATCAATCATAATACAGCAGAATCAGATTGATGTCACAAGTCTGTGATGTAACTTATAGTTTAGGATCATGTATAATTCAGTTTATATTAGGAAGAAAATCCGACATTGTGCCGGTGTACTGGCACAGCACTAACCTTACTAAAATGTCGACATATATGTCCCCTCACTAATCATTCTGATACTTGACTTTGCAATGTAATTGCACCATTTTGCGCCAAAAGATTGTCATTAATAAATGTGTAAAAATATTTACAATGCAGTGTTTATAATATTATACACTGTATTAATGCTACAGCTGCCCCAATCAAAACAAATATCCAGAGTAGTCAAACAATGATGCTAAGGGATCAATGACACAGTAGCCGCGTTGCGTAGGAGTCGATCTATTTTAGTTCAGCTGTATCATTGCATCTCTTTCGGTTGAATAAGTTGTGTATGCTGTTATCTCTTTCGATTGTGCAATAATTGGCAGGGTATCTGCTTTTTTTCTGTGCCAAAAATCACACGTGGATGTCCGGAATTGCTACATATGATTGCGTCATAATTTAATATTATTTGTTTTGATATTCGTTCTGTATTTGTTTTTGGTTGATGTTTGATTTTGTCTGAAAGATTTGGTTCTAAAAGATTAGGTAGAGTTCTTTCAACGAATAGTTTACGATATTTGTTGTTGCTTACAATCAATTTGTTTAATATCCTAGTCTTGTTAAGTATATTTGTTAGTTTGTTATGTCAAAGTTACAGTACAGTATTTGGTAGTTTTTTTTTCTTTTGTCAGAATCTAATGGCATGTTGTTTCTAGTGTTTATATTACAGTATTATAAGAATTTGTGATCTTCGTATGTATTATTTGATATAGTGATTAAAGACATTTGTTTAATTGTGCTATTTAGTGAAATGGATTGTAGCTTCTAGTTGAAGCTTATTATAATGTCGAAGACTTTGAACGCATACAGAATGTAAGTATTGTCTTTTTATAGCTTGTAATTTAAATCGATAAAAGTTTATTTAGAAGATAAGACGAAATGTGTACGATAAATTTTCTTTCTTCAGAACTGAGCGTCCTTCGATTTTGACCTTGACCTTGGTAATTTATCTTTGGGATAAAAGGATCTAAAGGATAGACGAGGCCTTCAAAGTAATCGCTTGTCTAGTAGAAAAATGTTCTCTTGGAAATATTTTTAACGTTTCATGTTGTATTTGTTTGAAGCACGAACGATTTTTTCAGACTTATTTTTGACATTATTATTTTGAAGTAACTTATGTAGTGTTTCATGGCTTCAGATGATATTAACCCTTTTTCTCAAAAACGCTTGAAGGTATCAAGCTGGATTTTTTTATTAAGGAACATATTAACTAAATTGGTTCTATAGCCCATAATAAATCATAAAGCAGATTATAGTTTTAACAATGAAGCGTAGTTAATGACTATTCATTTCTAATGATCCCTTTTTATTAAAACTCACGTTAAACACATCACTTCAAGAACTCTGTAATGTTTCCTATTACTCTCCCGTTCTCACTGTAGGTAATAGAAATCGAAAAACAATTGATTAGGGAGATGAAATTAAATTATTGCTCATGTTTTTCGGCAATGGAAACTGACGTTAAAATTCATGGCTTCATTGCATAATAAATTCAAAGTGTGTCGCGGTGCACTCAAAGCCACATTAACTGGGGTACTCTTGGGGCTTAATGTGATATTAAAAGCATTTAGTAGATGCGAGAGGATCGATAGTTGTGTCCCTGTTGCGTAATTACTATACCCATTAGTAGCTACTCCTTTAAATATACTCCGTGCCATAATTATTGTAAAGCTTAAACTTTTGTTTAGTTTTGTAGAAAACTGTTAGTGAAAGATATATATAAAATTGTTCGACATTAAAATATTTACAGAATTAACATCTTTGTATATAAAAAAAAGTCGTGTTAGTTACACTATTTATAAGTCAAAAACGGCTTTACCGATATGCCTGAAAATTGGTGAGGAGGTAGCTTAGAGCGAGGAGACGGACGTAGGATACTATTTATTCATTTTTTTTTCGAATTTATTCCTTGAAGAGCTGCTTTTTCTTTAACTTACTAATATTATAAATGCGAATGTTTAGATGGATGTGATGTGGATTGATGGATGGGTGGGCTACACTAATTAAGTTTTTTTTTTATATCCACGCGGACGAAGTCGCGGGCGACAGTTAGTTGTATATAAAGATAACATTTATCAGTTTAATCTTAAGTTGCTAAGCCATTTTATAAATAAAAATTCTAGCTATACTATGTCGTGCATCACTAGGCTGAAAAACGCAGACGAAAAAAAATGCCTAATCCGAAAAATAAATCTGAACGAATCTGTAGAAATGCGGCATTTATTCCATGCTATATTTTTCCGTGCAGAAGTTTTAAGTTTTACTTTTTTTAATCGCAGCTGGCTGGAAACTAAAACCTTTTTGCTATTCTCCAGCCAGTCGTGTTAAAATAACTACACAGATTCGATGGTTTAATGTTCAGGTCTCAGGAACCCCTGTGTCTAGACGCATCGATTAGATCACAGGTCTTGTGGTCTGTGTAATTGTGTTAGTACTTAACGCCTTTGTTTACGACCAGCGCGGTGAGTTCGCGTAAAAATCTTTTTGTTACCAGCATTAAAGAAAGTGTTAATTACGTTTTTTTTTAAAACTAATGGTTTTTTTAAAAGGAGTATTTATTTATTGGTGTATTATTGCTATCGATAAAAGATTCTTGTTGTCAATGTTATTGGGGCAAAATATAAAAGGTTTGATAAAAAATCAATGTAAAATTGCAGTGTTGGTTGGCAATTGTTTTTTTTTTCTAACAATAACTTACTGACAATAGGAATTACCAGTTCATTTTTATTGCAAAATATTTTTTATTCGGCTTCGTAAATATAGAACAGTCATTGTTCGGTCTCATTGTTTATCGTACTTGTTGCAAATTAAAATATTTTAAATAATAAAAATACACATCATAAAAGTAAGTTTACGATTCCAAGTCGAATAAAGTGAAAACAAATACAGTATTTATAACTTAATTGAATAACTACGAAGTATCTAAAATCATACAATATGTATTTATTAAAATAAGTAATTAAATGACTAATTAATTAAACTACCAAAATAATACTATAAACTATATACTAAAACTAAACCAAACTAAAAATAAAACTAAATAATATAAAAAATCGACCACAAATCGCTGCGGTCGCACGGTAGGGTTCCCAAGAGGCTGGAGTTTACGTATATTAAATCTTACTAATATTATAAATGTGAATGTTTACTTGGATGTATGTTAGAAGATATCTCAAGAACGGCTGCATCTTACCGAAATCTGGTACATAGAACATAGTCTTGAAGAATACATAGACTACTTACTAAATGTTTTTTTAATTCCGGAGTCACGGGCGTGAGCTAGTATATAATATATACATAATATGTTATTATAACAACCCCCTTAACTGAGTCATACAAAGTAATAAAACACACATGTTGTAAGAAAAATATTAGTGCTTGGATCGTTTTACTGCCTCCACTACGTCCACTAACTTGAACCCCCCAAATAACCCGCAGTTGGGTAAACTACGTTAAACTTTATTATGTTGGTAATAAACTTGGTATTGACTCGATGACGTAAACAAACATTGATCTATATGAATGGATAGATCGTCATTTGGAATTCTATCTGTTTCATCATCATCAGCTCACTGGGCCACCGAGGGGCTCGGAGACTACCCTAAGGGGTGACTAGGCCATAGTCACTATCTGTTTATTAGTTCGAATTGTCACCACCAATATTAATTGCAACCGTCAACGACTGAATGGCAAATGAAATAGGAACAAAATATAACAGTTCATAGCCTGTCCATGTATTTTTCAGTAAGTTTTAATAGTTTTCGGTTGAACTGGTTAATAAAATTTTCATTACTTTCAACTCAACTCAAAATCGTTTAAAACTTACATTCAGTTTCCTATGGAAAATACTTAAAGCGATTATTATATTTTATGCATTGCTAGATATCGCACGCGACTCTGTACGCGGGTTTACAAAAATAGTACCCGAGTCTCAGACTTGCTGAATATACATATAAATTTTATAAAAATCAGTCAAGTCGTTTCTTAGGTATATGGTAACTAACATTATGACACGAAAATTTCATATATAAGAGTTATTGATTACCATTGGCGACACATAGCCTGCGTCTAGTCTAAACAACGTTGTATTGATCAAGGGGTCACAGTTTGTAATAAAGGGCATTACGCATATTTAAACTTTGGCATGACCTTTATTTAATTTAGACCTAAAATTTTTGTCGACATTTAGTAAGTGTATTCTCTACAATTAACTTTAATAATAAAACAAATAGATTAAGGGACAAGTTTCTAAAAACATATGTTTTAAGATGATTCAAAAAAAATAACAGGATCCAGTATGTTTTTCAATGAAGTCTCATCATCAACCTGCCCTTATCCCTATTGAGGGTCGGCACAGTATGTACTACTCCTCCATACATCTCTATCAGCCGTCATATCCGAGTCTACCCCTTTCCTTTCCCGAGTCTTACGCATATCCTCTTTCACACAGTCATTGCATACTTTTTTTTGGTCTTCCTCTACCTTTGTAGTCATCCACATTCAATGTCATTACTTTTTTGCTTATATCATCATCATCCCTCCGCATTACATGTCCAAACCACGCTAATCTTTTACTCCCCAATTTCTCGATCGATATGTTTCAATGAAATCTGCTTTCTCGAATTGTTCTTGCTGCACCAAGTGTATTGTTCTATTAACGCTAATATTAATCCTGAACATTACTTCTATTGCTTTAAATGTACATACAATATTTCAATTTAATCGCAAGAAAGAAAACACCAATACTATCTACAATAATACAAGGAAAGCGTATAAAGATCGCGCCGTGTCGACCAGTCGGGGGTTGCCGCCCTTGGTTGCTTAGCAACCGGTTATTTATTCGCCCCACGTACTAACCACCCTCCGACACCCCCCCGGAGAAGGTGTAACAAATTTCACAAGGTTAAGTAAATCCCACCCCCAAGGAGGCAGGGAAGATATTATTTTGATGGTATCTCTAAGTCAAATTCTTTGTAATGCGGTGCGGTAAAATGGTTTTATTCTAGTTGAATCTATTCTTTCTTACGGATGAAATATTCTTCTTTGTTTATTAAAACCAGCACTGCAGGTTGCTGTCCTATCCTCTTTCTTAAAAACAGAAAAACAAAAGAACAACAAGCTCTATTTCTGTTGTTTTTTTTTCAATTAAAGGGCTCGCTTATTTATTTTTAATCATAAAATGTCTAATGTCAATACAATCTATGTGGCGAATTACAAACTAGATCTTATAAATGCGAAAGTTTCGATGGATGTTTGTTAAAAGATGTCTCCAGAAAACTCAACGAATCTCGATTAAATTTAGCATAGATGTTGAACAGTACCTGGAACGACATGTAGGTTACTATTTTTTTTAATTCCTACGCAGACGGAGTCGCGGGCGACAGCTGTTCAAGTATAACAGGCACATTGGCAAGTTTATTGGACATTATTCGCAAGTGTTACATCACAAGCTGTTAGCTTAGTTCCCTACTTTACAGTTTGGTAGCGTTCGACTTGTCTACGTGTTGAAAACTTATAACTTGATTTACAGCAAGAAAGTCTTTTTAACAACTTCTTGTACTGTATCTAGAAATTAAAACATTTTTTATGGCATACTAGCTGTCGCCATCGACTCCATTTGCGCGGATGTCGCCTATGTGTTCTTCCAGACTATGTTCTTTAAGTATTCAGAATTCCATCGAGATTCGTTCAGCCGTTCTGGAGGTATCTTCAAACAAACATCCATCCATCCAAACATTCGCAATTATAATATTAGTAAGATATCGCAGAGATAATTTGCAATAATGATCTTTATAAACCTAATAATAAAGTTC